GTAGTTAAGTCAAGTCGCATTTATTTGTGTAGCACTTTATACAATGCAGATTCAGTTTCAAATCAGCTTCACATTATTAAAGAGAACAGTAAAAATCATAAATTATGAAACAAACTCAAATTCAAGACAATAGTTTTCAGTATTCACAACAATTTATTTCAATGGTGATTCAGGTCAACCATGAACTGACTTCATTCATTATGACCAGATTCAGGGACTCATATGACTCCAAAATGACTCCAAACAGCATTTGCCTTCTTGTGTCCATCTAGACTGTTTTCTGTATAAATATGCTCAGGCTATTTGATTCTTCTTGCTGTTTTTCAGTGCCTTGAGCGCAGCATTTTTAAAATGCTGTTTTGGATAAAAAGAAGTTAACATTTAAAAATAATCTCTTGGGATCTTAATAAAAGTGATAAATTATAGCATCTCTGCTCTGATCTGCCAATAAAAGCTGAACAAGCATCGATAATAGTGTCGTACGAGAAGAAGCTTGGGTTCTGTCTAAATATATATCGTTGTATGCTGTATTTCCATATATTTTTCCATTTTGGCTCTTGAACTTTTTCTGTGCATTTGAAAACGAGAGTGTAATGAGAATGATAATAAATCTGTTGTTCACAAAAGAAAAGCCTTTCAAAAGAGAAGTTTCTCTGCAGCTTTCTGCCTAAATAAAAGCTCTATGGTTTATCATTTAAAAGCAACGAAAAAACGACCATAAATATTAGTATTGTTATAAATATTAGTATTAATATTATATAAATATTAGTATTAATATTTAGTTATTTATTATAATTTAATTTAATTTAATAATAATAATAATAATAATAATAAATAAAAAAAAAGATTACAAAAATAATAAAAATGGCAAAGAAATGTTTGTTTTTTATTGAAATAATGCGCATACAGTTTCATGGCTGGTACAAAAATATCGTAACACGTATTTTACAGTGTCATTGTTATACGTTACATGTACTTACTATCATAATGACAATAAATTATGTACAGTATAATTACATGCAAGTAACCCTAAGCCAAACCCTACCCATATAATAAGTACACGTAGTTCATTAATATTACTCATTATTTAAATGTCTAATTGCACTGTAACGTAAAATAAAGTGTAACCGAAATATGTATGGCGAGTTAATATTCTCAAGTCACAGGCCATTTACAGGTGTTTTAAAATGTTAGATTTATGCCCTGTGCGTATGTTTGTAATATGTTTGTGCAGCACAGATATATTTTGCAGCATTGCACATATCTGTGATGTTTTGTCCTGCATGTGTATTCTTAATCATTATATTTATCAGTCACACATTTAAAAAAAAAATCTGATTATGAGTTTCTGTGGACAAATCAAAATCTTAATTCCCCGAACACCTGTAATCCAAATGTAGTTGATACCTGAGAGGAGTTCTCACACCAGATGGAGTCGTCTCTCCCACCGAATGCAAGCAGATTAAAACCATAAATACATAAAAAAGTGGTAACTTATTTTCTTGGATACGTGTTTGGCACTTAGAGCCAACATATTGCACTTTGGTCCTCTGGATTTTGATAACTGGCCAAAAACCGCTTCCAAAAAGCTTCTAGCAGAAGTGGAGGAGAGCAGACATCAGTCAGCGTGGAGTGGAAGAGCTTCATTATCCATTCTGTGCGTGAGCTCCCTGCTCCAGTAAACTGCCTCGTCTCTCATCCTCTCTCACACGCTAAACGAGGAGGAATCAAATGATTCTGACCACCCCAAAGACCTGAGCTGCGTTTGAAACTCGCTATGCAATTATTTCCAGCTCGGCTCACTTGGCAGGTATATACTGCGCTCTTTGTAGTCAATCGACTGTTTGCGTTTGAACTCTCGAAGAATTTCACAAACGCATGTAATTATAGCTCATTTTCATCTCAATTTAATGATTTTTATTTAAATTAGAATATGCAGAGAAGTTTGCTCGCTCTTTTATTTCACTCGCCCGTTTGAATTGATTGGAGTTTCAGAATCTAATTTAATTTGATTAAAGAACCTTAACTCTGCTGAGTCAAATTTGAACTTCTTTGAAGCAAACTGAAGCAGGTCACACCTATGAGATGGAGGCGAAAAGAAATAAGGGAAAGTTACATGTGTTCTGTGTATATATTGTCCCCTGTACGTGTCATTCATAATTTTATGAGAATGAGATTCATAGGTGGTCTGTTCACATTAGTAAATGTATTTACAATTACAGTATTTTTGTGCATTGTGTGTGTATGTAAAATTTCTGCTGATCACATTAAAGCAAATGTGACTCTGTGTGTGTGTGTGGTGTATTGTGTGTGTGTGTGTGTCTGTGTGTGTGTGTGTGTGTTGTCCAGCTTTAAGGGACAAAGCGCGTGAGCTGAACGCAACTCTGGGCTCGAGGGACGGGGCTCCTGAGAAGAGCGTGAACGAGATGAATGATGAAATCCAAACAATGCTCGCAGAACTACGCAAACGCCAGCTCTCCGGCAAGAAAAACATCGCTGACGAAGAACTGGGGTAAAACACACACAACGTGTTCACACTGCAGTCCAGATTATGTCACTTTAATAACCAGATTATGTCCTGGATGTTTGTGCTGCCCACTTTTTCAGTGGCATTGGTTCCAGGAAGTATTTTACCCATTCATTTTTCCCATAGGGGTTTTCGTTAAAGTTCACCTTCAGTTCCCCACTGATTTCCATAGTATGGAAAAAAAACACTATGCAAGTCAGTGGGGACCAACTGAAGGTGAACTATCCCTTTAAAGAGTTATATGCCATGAACCCAAGCAACCAGTTACAAGCTGAATGACTAAATTGCTCATTTTGATTTGAAGCAAAAATCGGACAAAAATACAAAGATATAAGACTGTGTACTTCACAGCTTTAGTGAGGGAAACAACGTCTCTGTTACGTACGTAACCCTCGTTCCCTGATGGAGGGAACGGAGACGTTATGTCATGAGTCTTTAAGAGAAAACGCCAATGAAATTTGGCTAGTGGATTTTGCATACCTGAGCCACTCCCCGTGCATACGGGTATAAATAGGCGACAGGTGCATCCACTCTTCAGGTTTTACGCTGAGGAGCCGAGAACTTGTCCCTGGCCGCCAGCGATGGTTCAAGGTTGTGGCAAGCGGATATAATGTCTCTGTTCCCTCCATCAGGGAACGAGGGTTACGTACGTAACCGAGACGTTCCCTATCTGTCGGTCACTACGAGTTATGTCGTGATCGACATTATGGGGCCCTGGAAAGCATAACAACCTGTACCCCGTCACAACCCCATGACGTAGCCAATGTTGGCAAGCGGCCGCGTGTCAGACAAACGCTATGCAAAGGTCATAACCTTCCCACAGCCCCAGCGCAAATTCGCTGACCTTGGTATCCGCAGGAACCAGCAAGCATGACACCGGCCAGCTCTTCCCGCCATGCCTTGGGATTGGTACACCAAGGCGATGGCATCCACTATCCAGTGGGCCAACCTCACTGGGCCAGCCTTCCCGTTCTGCTGACCTCCATAGCAGACAAAGAGCTGCTCAGAGCTTCCAAAGCTCCGGGTGCGGTCCACGTATATGTGCAGTGCTCTTACGGGACACAGCAACGCAAGGGCTGGATCTGCCTCCTCCGAGGGCAGTGCTTGCAGGTTCACCACCTGATCTCGGAAGGGAGTGGTGGGAACCTTGGCCACGTACCCAGGCCGGGGTCTCAGGACAATGTGAGAGTAGGCCGGCCCGAACACAAGACACTCTTCGCTCACCGAAAATGCTTGGAGGTCCCCGACCCTCTTGATGGACGTGAGCGCGGTCAGGAGCGCTGTCTTAGCAGACAGGAACTGAAGCTCGACTGAATCCAGCTGCAGACAGGGACACTGCTGTTCGCACCGTGACGCCAACCAGAACAGCTTCCAGACAGATGATGAATGGCTTTGTGGAGATCAACACTTTCATCCACTTGGCTCCGAAGCAAAAATCTGAAGAGTGGATGCACCTGTCACCTATTTATACCCGTATGCACGGGGAGTGGCTCAGGTATGCAAAATCCACTAGCCAAATTTCATTGGCATTTTCTCTTAAAGTCAGAGATGATTGGGGCTCCCAAGTGAATCCCCATAATGTTGATCACGACATAACTCGTAGTGACCGACAGATAGGGAACTACAATCCCAGGAAGCAAGTTTTCAAAATAATGGATAATTATTTATTTATTTAGTTGTTGGTTGTATCTATAGTAACATGAAAATATGCATATGTATACAAATATGTACGTTTTATGACAGCATAGTGAGGTTGACTTGATTATATCATTGTGGGTGGAGCTGAAGAGATCTTTTGTTCACTGCAGCTGGTTGGAACTGGTTGATTGGTGGATTTTTCGGTACAGCATCATGGCTAATGTAGGTTTTCACCATAAACTCAGCTGTTAAATAGGAATATAAAAAAAAATTTAAAAAGTTAAAATAATGTGGGTTGATGTTTTCAACGCAAGCGTATTCCATCGATTAGCAATGTTTATAAGTTATCATTAAAAATTTCCCTATGGAGAAAATGAATGGAGTTTATACAGACTGTTGCACTCTATAATGGAAAAATCATGCAGCTTTGAGGTTGTGCTTAAAATGCGGGACACAGGTGAATATTAAGCTCTCATAACAGACAGTGTTGGGATTTGTTGCAAAGTGTTTTAATGCAGCGTACTGTTCATAAGTAAAGATCACATGAATGTTGCTCAGTCTGAGTACCACAACAAACCTTCTTCATACAGAGCACATAGAGCTATGCAGCGGTGAGGACGCCATTCAAGCTCACAGGTTGGAATAATTGTTTTGGTGGCATTATGTTTCTCGGTAGTATTTTGTGAATCATTGAATCACAGCTCAAATTAAGAAAGTTTCTCTTTCTTATGTAAAATCTTAATGAACTAATTAAAAGTTGACCGAGGTTGGGCAGGGGAGGAATATTATTCCAGCCTAATCAAATGACTTCTGTAATGGATTCCAGCCTCTGTACGGCCATGAGAGAACAGAGAGAGACACCTAGAGGAAGACAGAGGGAATGAGTCAGTGCTCGAGTAAAGCTGGAGCACACAGAACCCGTTTAAGAGCTGCCCGTTCCACTTCATTAGGTGGTTTACAAGTGGATTCAGTTTGAGCGCAGCGCTGAAGCATGTACATATTTGATGTCTCCTCAGAGATTCCCTGTCTTTTAGTAAAAGACAAAAGATGTCCTACAAAATACAGTATTCAGCTCTGATTGTAACATCTTCATTCAGGGTTGTAGGAATTTATATATGAAGGAATAGTGTGTGCAAAAACATAAATTCATCACTCATGTTGTGATTTATTCACCCATGTGTCGGAACACACAAAGTGAAAGTGGGTGGCCTCAATCTGTCAGTCACCATATACTGTAAGTCTCATACACTACTGCACAAACATTTGAGGTCAGTATGATTTTTGTTTTTGAAAGAATTATTTTAATGCTTACCAAGGCTGCATTTAATTGATCAGAAATACATTAAAAACAGTAATGTAGTAATGTTTCAAATAGCTGTTTTCTACAGTATGTGAATATCTGTTCAAATGTAATTTATTTCTGTGATGCGCAGCTGAATTTTCAGCATCATTACTCCAGTCTTCAGTGTCACATGATCCTTCAGAAATCATTCTAATATACTGATTTGCTGCTCAAGAAACATTTCTGATTATTATCAGTGTAGAAAACTGAAATATTTTTTTTATGAAAACGGTGAAACATTTTATTTTTCAGGATTCTTTGATGAACAGAAAGTTCAAAAGAACAGCATTTACTTTTGTGACATTAAATGTCTTTACTTTGACTTTTGATCAATCTAATGCATCCTTGCTGAATAAAAGCCAAAATCTCACTGATCCCAAACATTTGAATGCTAGTGTAGTTGGTCATTCTGCTTTGCTTTGGTCTCTTAAAGGGTTTTCTTATGTCACGAGTCACAGATAAGGAGCACTCGCTCTCTCTCATTATCTTTATAGTGCCGCAGAGGCTCTTTTGGCTAGAGTGAAGCGTTTGTTTGGAGATCCACACCAGGCCACAGAGGACCTGAAGAAGGAGGTCAGTGATAAAATGGGCGATTACAGGCAGAAACTGAACGAAGCTCAGGATCTGCTGAGGGACGCGCACAACAAAACCAAACAGGCCGAGGGACTGGCTGTTAACAACCAACTGAACCTCGACCGTCTGCAGGTGCACACTTACACAAACTTAATGTATAAAACACTCTGAGTCGTATCTAAAGCGTTTTGTTATGTTTGAGCAGGGAAAGAGGGATGTGGCCGGTGAACAGAAAAAGGAAATGGAGGGAATTTTGGCGGAAGGAGAGAAGATGCTGGACGAAGCTAACGCTCTCTCAGACAGCATCAACCGGGGCAAAGAGGTCAGTTTCTTGCAGGAACGTTACTAAACAATAACTTATCCTCAGAGCCGTGGCTTACTGACTGGCGTCTGCAGGAGCTGGAGGAGATGGCCAGAGAGCTGGGCCCCCTGCAGGATAAGTTGGATTTTAAGGTGGCGCGGTTGGGTCGCGGTCTGGACGACTCCATCCCTGATCTGCTGCTGAGAGCGGAGGACCACGCCGGCCAGCTCAACGATTCTGCTGCCATACTCGACAGGTGTGTGAGTGTGAGTGTGAGTGTGAGTGTGTCTGTGTCTGTGTGTGTAAAGTGAGTGTTTAGTGCAGTTTCCAGCTCAAATTAACACTAGAGGCAATAAAACACCAACAACTGTTATTCCTTTTCGAACAAATCATGATTACAAGGGGCAGATTATTGATTAATGTAGACTTTTTTTGCATGGTTTTTTGCACAGTACTATGTTGTGAGATCAAAATACTTTTACCATAGTGCACGAGTTGTGAAATGTAATAATTTTTTTCTTTTTCATTTGCATCACATAACCAGCTCTTTGTGTAGCTTTTCTGACATGGTAAACTTGCTCAGTAGCGCACCCGGTACAGCATTGCACTTGTGATGTGAAGCACTCAGATACCTGTGAAACACAGGTCACAATAAAAGAGCTCAAACACTTGCAGAAACCAGATAAAATGGCATGGTTGCTTCTGCATGCTTTTGTTAAAACTGTTGGTTAGGGTCAGTGTAGGGTTTAGTGTAGGTGCTACTTTATTTATACGTACAACAACCAATGTAATAAAACACTGCCAGATTTGCATTCATCTATTTCGGATAGAATGTGCTTTCAGTGCCACTCTCACTGGACATTTCATTTCAAAGCTGTCACGAAATGTGCAGAAGCGATGTAGTATCAGTTTGTGGAAATGTGACCACACAGGCACGTTTTTCCAGTGAGCCTCGGTTGATTTAATTTGTCTTCTCTCACTGATCTGAATTCTGAACTTTGACTTCTGTAGCATTCTAGCTGAGGCAAAGAACCTGTCCTTCAATGCCACCGCTGCTTTCAACGCTTACACCAACATCAAGAACTACATTGATGAGGCCGATAAAGTGGCCAAAGAGGCAAAGAAAACCAGCATTGGTGCTCTACAGCTGGTGAGGAAACACACACACAATCAGGAGGGTCTCCTGTCTGCATCAGTGACTGATGTGAAGTGCTCAACGTGGGCAGCAGCTAATTTACATTCGGTTGTTTTTTTTTACTTGCAGTACATGCAAACCTTTTCAACTCATGTCTTTTTGTGTTGAAGCAGAAAAGTCACAAAAACGAAATTATTGCAAGATATTGCAAGAGTTCATATCCCAGCCAATGGCAAACAGGGAAATGCAGGGACACGTTATACAGTATAGTGTTGGGGATGTAACGGCGTTATGTAATTTAATTACAAAATAATTGTAACTGTAATCCGTTACAGTTACAGAGAAAAAATGCGTAATTACATTACAGTTACTTATGAAAATGTTAGTGGTATACAAAGAGGATTACATCTGAATATTTTCTGTAAATAGCTAGGATATTTTGAATAATATTTATTTGTTGCTTTGCCTGTTTTTGATGTGCACGATGCCTCCTGCCATTTAAAAGCTGTTTAGTAAAGTGATGCTATTCTGATGCCAAAAATCAGAACAATCTCAAAGTTAAAGGTGTGCTAACGTCTGATTTTGTGGTGGCTGTGCTTTAAAATTAAACTATTATTATCTTAATTCAAGTGGATTTTGAAAGTCTGGCAGTAATCAATGTTGAGTACTGCTGTAAGGTTAACCCTGCCTGCTTTAAATGTTTCAAAATGATTAACAGTTGAAAACATTTGTTAGGAATTAATAAAAGTAATCAAGTGTAATCAGTTACTTTAATAATAATTATTAAACCTATTACATAGGAGTGGCGCTTTGTGTCAGGAGCTCGTCTGTAATGTCTAGAGATGCTGCGCTTCACTCCACACCTCAGGCAGCTCGTGTTAAAGCTCTTCAGTTCATTTCCATTTGTCCTGCTTCAGAGATCAAAGCTTTCCTCCTGTTCTGCTGTTATCATCCCTCGCTCCTGTCGTTCACCCTCTTTCACTATCCTCTCACGTCTGACGCAGAACCGGTGGGGCAAAAGGTTAAAACTGAACAAGGGTGCTTCACACAAGAGTGTCAAACCTGACAATATGCAACAATACTAAAAATGAGCTTTCAATCCTCTCTCCCTCTCTCAGCATGGACATACATGACAAGAGCACACTGATCGTATCACATTCAACAACATTTCTGTTAAATTTCATATTGAATATCATTTTTGTTTATCGCCACACATTTAGGACCATTGTTTTTGTGACTTTCTATTACTTGATAATAATCAGAAATGTTTCTTGAGCAGCAAATCAGTATATTAGAATGATTTCTGAAGATCATGTGACACTGAAGACAGGAGTAATGATGCTGAAAATTCAGCTGCGCATCACAAAAATAAATTACAGTTTAACAGATATTCATAGAGAGAACAGCTGTTTTAAATAGTAATAATATTTCATAATATTACAGTTTTTATTGTATTTTTGAACAAATAAATGCAGCCTTGGAGAGCAGAAGAGACTTCTTTCAAATAGATTTTAAAAATCTTCAAGGTTTTGAATTAAATCTGTGGCACATATGTGACCCTGGAGCACAAAAGCAGTCGTAGGTCGCTGGGGTATATTTGTAGCAATAGCCAAAAATACATTGTATGGGTCAAAATTATCCATTTCTCTTTTATGCCAAAAATCATTAGGACATTAAGTAAAGATCATGTTCCATGAAAATATTTTGTAAATTTCCTACTGTAAATATATCAAAACTTAATTTTTGATTAGTAATATGCATTGCTAAGAAGAACTTTAAAGGAGATTTTCTCAATATTTTGATTTTTTTGCACCCTCAGATTCCAGATTTCTCTAAATTTTTCACATTTTTCGAAACTTAATTTCGAAAAATTGAACCTTATGACTGGTTTTGTGGTCCAGGGTCATATATACACATTTAAAAATGACAGTCCTTTATCTTGCATTGTATTGCATTTATGTATTGCATAAAACACAAATGTTTAAAACATGTCCCTCCTATAGTACCATCTAGTCCTTAGCAGCAGGTTTTGTGTCATCTGAAGCATGAGTGGCACCCGCTCTGATGTGTGTGTAATGTCCTGTCTGTAGGCCTCTGGACCCAAAGGATCTCTGAAAGACCAGGCCAAGGGTTCGGTTCAGAAGAGTCACCGTCTGTGGAACGAGGCCAAAGAAAAGGCTTTTTCCCATATGCGTCTTAAGCAAGACGCAGTACGAGTGAGGTATCGAAAGGGAACCACATCAGATTTCCGTCCTCAGCAGAATTAATACCGTCCTGCGGCTTCTCACAAATCTTCCCGAGAGAAACCTTATTCTTTTTCCCATGTCTTTTTGTTCTTTCTTTTTTCAGAAAATGGAGACAATCTGGGTGTTCTTCAGTTCAGACTGAAAGGAGCCAACAAAAAGAACAAAGACTACAGAAAGGCCTGAACGACACAATGGAGAAACTCAACGCCATTCCTGATGGTGCGTGTGCGTGTGCGTGTGAGTGTGCGTGTGCGTGTGCGTGTGCGAGTGTGTGTGTGTGTGTGTG